CCATTGTTTAAGAAACAACAGCAAAATTATAAAATAAATTTTCAATTAGAATCTTTAAAAAATATAACTCTAGAAAAGCAAGAAAAAATAATAATATAAACATTATAAGAAGTTCCAAATGAAGAGGGGTCTCCAAGAACTAGTGGAGCTACATGGTTGAAAGAATCTTTTTTATATAGAAACGCCGGAGGATTTCGTCGATCCAAAGAGTCATATATGCTTAAAAATAATAATTATTACAATAAAACAATAAAAAGTTAAAACTATAAATAGACCCATAAGAGTCACCATGTTTTAAATGTCATCCACCACCAATTAGAACACGTTACAAAATGCGATAATGATTCTTTTCAGTATTTTCAATGAATCACAAAGACGAAAAAGATATAATTTATCCATAAGTTTATAAGCAACTTTCGCCTAAAAAATAATTATAGGATAAAACCAACTTTAACAATTTAATTCAAGTTTACTAGTAGTTGTGACTTTAGTTTCATTATCTATGATCCATCTTCTCTCTTTCCTTATAATTCTAAACATACATGTATTGTTAAATTATATACAACAATTAACAATTTCTGACGTTATTTAAATTCAAGAAAGTTGCCCACATAAAAGTTTTAGATAGATAATTGGATTAAATGTACAATGGAACAATTATATATATATATATATATATATATATATATATATATATATATATATATATATATATATATATATATATATATATATTATATAAATTATGCTAGCATTTTGTAGATTTGGTCCTCAGTCTTTGTCTGTTTTTACAATGCTAGCCTGTTTCTTTTAGAGGGTATATTTTGCAATTTTCTATATTGTTTTTCCACGTGTTGATTTCTCTTTCTTTCACCATTTTCTTGACCAATAGGGACTTCATTTATGTTATTCTTCTCTCTACCATGGTTGCGCTTCCCTATACTTCCCACCGATTGTTCTCCACCGCCTTATCTCATGTATTTTTTTTTCTCACTGCCTCCATCGGATGTTGATACGCTCTCCACTGGTCATCCTATTACCTACATGTTGTTTCTTTCACCAGTCCAGACCTCCGATCACCACCGTTCTACCTGTCCCTTTCTCGACTTCAATCAAAAGCAACCACCCACCCACCGTGGATGAATAGTAGATTGTTTGGACCCATGTCATCACCGGTTTAGCTGCCGACTCCAATACCACCTGTTTGGAGCCGGAGTTGCTTGAGACTCGCCACCTATCCCTTTCTCGACTTCCACCTATCTCTTTCTCGACTTCGATCACGTACATCACTCTTCAAATTCTGATTTAGGTTTCTTCCGATTTTGGGATTTCCACGATAGTTATCAGTCGATTAAAATTGTTTACATGTATGTGGTTTGACTAGGTTTCTAATTTTCTGCAGAGGCAATTTTAGACAACGATTATGTCAAATTTCAGTATACAGTGGTGTTTATGAAACATTTATGTATACCTCGATGACCCGACCTACTTCGTCGCCCTCGCGTTCCCCAACGCTACAACTTTGGTCAGTTTGGTTTTCATTTGGTTTTGATACCAAACCGATACTATGTTTCTTGATTTGAATCAATTTTTTTTGTTATTTTTGTGTTTTAGGTTCTAAAATTTGTCCATGATCGATAGATAATCTTTATGTAAACCTTTCTCATGGTATTGTTCATGTGAATGGCATAAGTGAAAGTAACATGCTCAGGGTCCTTCAGACACATTTTTTGTTTTTACATTTTCCCTTTTGACCTAAAAGAAATGCTTTATGAGATGATGTAATTTACAGGGAATAACACTATCCTCTCGGAATCAGCTCTATGTTGGTTTTAGAATGCTCTTTGAAACAAGGTTGTAACCGTCCTTTGGTGACCTGGTGAACCTTTACTTACTGTGACTGAATCTATGGCAAATGGATCACTTACAAATGTCCTAATAAACAAAGAGAGGTAAACTATGTCAAATAATTATTTAAATCCTTTTAATTATTAATTAAGAGGTAGAAAACAGAAAATTACAGGCTGAACGAATTCACACTATAGATTAGAACAACGAATCATGTATATGGGCACACAATTTTGTTGTTGTGACATGTGTTTATGCATGCATTCTTTTGTCATGAGAAGATTAAGAGGCAAATTGATGATATCCATACAAGTTAAGTCTTCATTTTTTTTAGTTTTCATTTATTGGTTTTAGTAGACTCAAATTTTCCACAAATTTTCATAATTAGCACTTGAGCAATTTTTGAGAAGTCATAAATTATATTGAATTTGGATTTCCAAATTTAGACTTAACAGACAATATGTTAGAGAAATCGGAAAACCATTATGAGAAATGGTTTTAGTATTTGAAACAAGTTGGAGGTTAGATGATTTTTATGACCTTTGACTCTTTTTAAGCATCTTGAGTTGTACACTTTCTTAAGATATGCAATCAAGTGATGTTAATATGTAATTACATGTATAACAATCGAGTGGAGTTTTCTCAAGAAAGAAGAAACTTGAAAGCAAAATTCTCAAAGATTTTCATTCATGCAAGTTTGGTTTTAGGTCTAGCTAATTAGCTACATGTAACTAAACTATCTAATCTGATGCCATAAGAAACTTTTTGCAGTATTCTTTCAGGTAATTTTGTTTCGTGGATATAAATAACAGGTTAAGCTTTTAAATATCTGAAAACATTCCAAGTATATTATATGAATTCATGTATTATAAAAAATATTGATGGTTATATCTAATTCACGGGTCAGGGAGGAAAGGAGATGACAGAAAGGGAATGGATAGGATTCACTTGATTTAATTCGTTACTTCTACCTCCATTGGTTTCCCAGGTTCGTAACTTCATATGTGATCTTTTTTTTAGTCATACGCCTTTTGGTGGCATAAAATGGCAGCCATAATATATATGCTAATTTTATTTTGTTGTTTCTCATTTTTTAAACAGGGAAGGAAAGTATGGTTATGTTTTTATATTAACTACCTGTAAGAAAATTTGTTACAGGAATGGTGTTCTAACTTTTTACTATATCTTGGTGATAATTTACTCTTAATAGTTTTGATCAATTATCATATATAATTTTAAGCATATTTTATTATAATAGTATAATAGTATTAATAAACATTAAGAAATATGGATGAAAAAGTTTTTGTTTGTTTCATGCCAACTAATGAAAAGTAATTAGTCAACTTTTAAGTGGTCAGATCATCACAATCAAAATTATATTATCTAAGACATTAAAACATGATTATTGTGATTTCAATTCGTAATATAGTCATTATTCGGGGACCCATGTCGTAAACAAAATATGAGGACGTGACTGAACTATTTTCAGAATTGAATTGAATCAAATCAACTTTTGAAACTTGATCTGATTTTTAAGAATGTGCTACTTTCATTGTTATCACCCAGAAATAGTATGTTATTGCCATGTTTATGGAAAATATAACATGCACCTTTCATTTTTTTTTTTTTTTTTTGACAAATAGCATGTGACTTTTGTTTTTATGTGAAAAAAGGATGTCACCTTCATTGTTATGACAAACATAGCAGGGTATTTTCATTTATTCTACAAAAACAACTCATACACAAATAGATGAAAATACTTTGTTGTCTAAGATCATATGATGGTTCACATTATTTCACTCATTTGGGCCATCTTTACTAAAAGTCTTCGACTTTGTATTAGAGTTCATTACTTAGATGAAATGGCTTATCAATTCGTATTTGCATTTTTTTTAAAAATGTTATCTACCTTCTTAAACTTTTTTAAGTTGTTCAGTTGTGTAGGTTAATAGGATGAATAAGGATAGGGAGAAACAATGTAATAAAGAGTCTGTAGAGGTTGTTGATGTTTTATGGTTAGTAGTTGTATCTAAATTACGGCTAAAAGAGTCTGTAGAGGTTGTTGATGTTTTATGGTTAGTAGTTGTATCTAAATTACGGCTATTATCCGTTTGTAGATAGGTGAAATGTAGGGAGAATAGAAACATAGTTTACTGTAACTACCAATTGAGACAATGTACAATACTTTCACACAAAAACGATACGCTCTAACCCCCGCAACGCAGGGGACACTCATTTAGTTTATATTATATCAATCTCCTAATTAATAAACTAACTTTTTGTATATGTGTAATAGCTATATATTAATTTCCCTCGATTTCAAACAACCACTTTCGCCATTGTTTAAGCCTGCGAGGTATGAAATATGTTGTATAAAATGGATGGAAAAAATATATTGCTGAAAATAAAATTAAATAAAATAAATAATATTTCTAGTTTTTAACTAATAAACATGAGAGAGAGAGAGTTTGGAATTACGAGTAGGTGACAACAATAGGGTCCACAAGGAGGATAACGCTAAGATCATCTCCAACCCACTTTCATTTTTCCCGCCAAAATTGGGTAAATAATGTTTCATCTCCAACCCTACTCCATTTTTTACCCTATTTTTACCCCCAAAAAGTATATTTCATTTTTTTTAACTTATATAAATTGCCAAATACACCCTTCTACTAATTTGGTTTTAACAAATATATAGTCTATATTTTTTTCATGACAATAATATTAAATAAATAATATTATATTTATAATACGTAATTATAAGCTTTTGTAAAATACGTAATTGTGTTTTAAAATTTTCACTATGTATTTAAATTTTAATATGAATTTGATAAACAAAAAGAAAATTTATATTTATAATTAATTAATATAATTTAATATATAACACAATATTATAAATATTAAATATTACATTTAAATAATAATTAAAAGGTAAAAAAATCAGAAATATATAAATATATAAAACGAGGAACTAAAACCGACAACTCAAAGTTCATCCCCATTTTGAGAGAATGAATAGTATAACACCTCCCAAAATGGGAAAAGAAATGGGATAGGATTGGAGAGGAATGAGAGAAAAAATGGAGGAAATTATGGAAATAGGAGTGGGTTGGAGATGCTCTAAGCCAATTCTCGTAACTTTGTGTGTGATTTTATTGGTGAGTTCCTTCCATAGACCACGCATCATCTTCTGCTGAAACGGCGATAATCCATACACTACCACTTTTATCTTCACCGGAATCTTCCCCTTCTTCGATTTGATCTAACAAATCAAGCTTTTAGAACGAAACAGGTCAAAATAGCAACGTCATTTTATGGGCAAAAATGCCACAAAAAAGGGATTTGATCCGACAGAATGCCGACTTCCCCACATTGATCGGGTTTTTGGGTTGCAAAGCTTTTCTCGGATCAAGTCATCAAACTATGGGTTTCCGTTGTGCAGTTTCACTCACCAAGGAATACTTTAAAACAGTCAATCTTTCAAGCTCACAAACAATTTTCAACACATAAACTTATATGTAAAATGTCAATAACAAATAAATCCAATTACTATTTCTACTTCAAAAACAAAAAACGACAAGCAGCTATAGTCCCAAAAGCTACATCAATCAAAAAAAAAAAAGTGAAACAAAACTACAACAAGCTCTTTCCTTGTTCCGTCATATCTGGTTTCAGCAAGATTGTATTGATCCACCATTCGAGCCCACCAACAATGGACATCATACATCAAGGGGTTGTACATTATGCATTAAAGGACGTACAGGGTTTGTCACCAACCAGTTTTGGCCCGTTTCATGGCACTTGAACCGAATGGTGACACACTGCCTCTGGGCTGCGGGCTATCTTCTCTGAAATTGGAGTTTAGCATAGCAAGTTCTCTTAACTGTTGTCTCTTGTACAAATCCTGAGACTCATCCTGAGAAACAAAAACCGAATGAATATCTGTAAGCTTGTTTATATGTAGGGGTATGTATATATATACATGGTGTACACATGTATTTGCATGGGGTACAACAAATAAAACATACCACGGGTTTGAGCAGCTCTTCGATGATTTCCTGTGCTTGTCTCAAACGTACATCAATGATTGTTGCAGGCAACTCAGCCTCAATCAAGATGTGAAGTGGTTCATTAAGGTGCTCATAGCCAGGTCTACCCCTCAAACTCTCCTCCTTTTTTGCAAAAAAAACCAACATAACTTTAAAGATTACGTAAAATCTGCACGTACCCACATTTTATAAAGACTAAAGATTCTAATTTTTTTTTTTTTCATATTCTTGCCTCGAATTTACCAACAAAAAAAAAAAAAGAGAAGAAACGATTTTTAACACAATTCTATAAACTACGTGAAATCAGAGCAAGTACCCGTAATTTATAGACTTAAAAGATGGGATTTTTTCCATGTTATTCTTATTGCAAAAAAAGAAGCGATTTTAACACACCCTACAGAATTGACGTAAAATCTGCAAGTACTCGTACCCATAAAGACTTAAAAATCGGATTTTTCCATGTTAGGAATATTCTAACCTCCTTCAACAAAAAGGGAAGGATTTCTAAAGTATAATTCAAAAGATTATAAGTGAAATTTGTTAGTACCAGACCTTATAACTGCTTTAAAGATCGTATATTTACATGTTAGGAAAATTCTAACCTTCTTTCACAAAAAGAGAAACAATTTCTAAACATAGTTCAGAAACTTACGTGAAATCTGTAAGTACCCAGAACTTATAAAGACTTGAAGATGAAAGCTTTTGATATTAGGAGTAATCTTACCTTTTCAGGATCTTTAATGGAGCCCTGGCCTCTGATGAAGACACGGCATCCAGTTGAGGCTTCAACCCGCTTCAATGAATTGCCTCTAGGACCCAGAAGCCTCCCAACGAAGTTAAACTGTTGATATTTACAAAGAAAAAAACATCATTAAGTCTTTACATTTTTGTCAAGATATGTCTTGATGAATTTCTTTAAAGGCAAATAGCAATATAGCGTACATTTGGAAAACTGTTAACGGGTATATCCAAACGCAAGATCCTCTTTGTAATGAATGAACTTGGGCTTGCTGGTGCAGAATTCCAGTGATCCATTGGTAATCCTTGTGGCACGCTTAGTCTCTATGAAACAAAAGCATTTGTAAGTTAACAAATTCAACCAATTTCTTAAAATCATGTATGTTTAAATGAGTGTGCACTTGTCATATACCAAATGAATAAGTTATTGTACTTGAAAAAATGTAAGTAGATTTTAAGTTTTCGGTATTCACCTCTTGTTGAAGGGGACTCCAACCTGCATTTCCATTCCAACGGATTAGACCATTAGGTTCAACATCAGGGATAACGTCTAAAGGATTTAAAGGGCTTTGGCTACCACGTTGCATTCTGTCAAAGTCGTTAAAACCTTGATTTGGTATCATTGCTGAAACCCTGAATATCTCTGTAGATGAAATAGAGTAATAACGTTACTAATCAAGAACATAATCAATCAGCATTTTTTGGAATTTAACTGAAGTTAGAACCCCTTTGATCCTTCAATTGACTTCACGACAAACAAACAATCCAATAGAGGTAAGAAATGAATATGCATTCGAAGATTGATTGAAGAGCGTATCAATTGGAATTACTTAAAGGATCTTGAAATCGACATCTAAATTGAAAATGTGTTGTAGGAATTGAAGATTCGGAAGGAAAACTAGAAGTCAGATATACCCAGAACAGACTGATTGTAATTTATGCGCAAACATGGCGAGAAACAATCTGAAACTGAAAAACTAGATCCAAATAGTGACAAAAAGTTGAACCTTGATTCAATAATTTACTGCAAATGGGAAGAACTCTCATGAAAGGGGCAAGCTTCAGCTTTTCTTCAAGTAACTCTGCCAGATATGAACTGCAAGCATATAAGAACCCGAAAAACATATAAAATCATTCATAAAGCAAACAAACCAAGACTTCTTGAAGTGGGTAAACATAAAGAAGAAAAAAGAAGCAGATTTGTATATCTTGATATGATTAGAAGATTATACCTTTCAACATCTGGATTGGCCCATATATGTGGAGATGAAGCGGCTCTAGCAGGTGAGTAGTTTTGACCATATAAACTTGACATGATCGGAACTCTTTCTTTTCTCAAATGGTGCCGCCGCCGTGGAAGGCGGAGGATTGGGAGGAGGTGAGATAACAAGGGTTGTTATGGGCTGAGCAGTGAGCCCTGAAGAGAGAGGGGGCAGAGAAAGATGAAGAAAAAAGAGAGAATTGGAAAAGGAGTAGGAAAATTGGGTGGCTTCTAATAAAGGGGGCTTTGGACTTTGGTGTTTAAACTTTGGGTGAAATTTACATATCCCGTCCTTCTAACTTTTGGGGTGTTCGATGAATCTTAATTTGTCAATGTAAACACTCAACACGGGAGAATGTATTGCTAGTTCCTAGTAACTACATGCAATCTTCAAAAAAAAAAAATTTTAAGTATAGATAAAAATAAAATACAAAAATATTGATCTTATTGCATATTCATGTTAGAAAACCCAGATTTGTGCTATATTGTTAAATGTATTACAATGTTTTTGTTTAGCTTTTTATAATACTCATTTTTGAAGTAAAATGTTTATGAAATGATGAATGTATTATCAAAGGCGATAAATTAACATATACAATCTTTATAAATTTAACACGGGAATGTATAGCTAAGATATGATGAATATAACTACATTTTAACATACCTTTTACCTTAATTTAGGGAGATAAAAAAACGACATATTTGAATACCAAAATAAAAAAACAAGGCTTTGAAAGAAAACATACTGATAAAATAATTCAAAGTCAATGTAGAACACAATAATACATAATTTACCTTATGAAAATTATTTTTCACTTTGGTGGTCCGAGATTATAATAAACAGACGTGATAATTTTGATTTTTGACATGAATGAATCAATATGAGAAAACTTATACTAATTTATATAATTTTAAGTTTGTTTGACACATTTATTTGATTTTTTTTTTTTTTTTTTTGATAAATAGTAATTTGGGTCAAATTGACCCGACCTTACTCAATTCGACATGTAGCAAAAAGTTGTTTGTTTTGACATTTGACGCTTCCATTTTGCGACCATTTTTATTAAATAAAAGAGAGACCAAACGAACGAACGTTTAGTAATTTTTCGACTTAAATTGAGAAACTTTAAAGTAGAAGTACTGTGATGTAAATTGGTTCAAGGTTGAGGGAGAAATCATGCTAAGTATACGAAAAAAGAGCTTTAAATATGCGTGGGGAAAATGTGTTGGTGTGAGTGTGGAAAGTTTTTATTTTTTTAATGTTTTTACAGTTGCTGACAGTGGTGCGTTCGTGTGTGAATCCAACTCCATTTTGTTTTTTTACTCTTCATTATTTTATGTTATTTAACTATTTAATAAACTTTTTACTTCCATACGTTTCATTACAAATTAAGCTTGTAATGAATATTTTATAGTAATAATTATGATCATCTATAATTTTGATATGATTCAACAAGAAACTTGGGGTATTTATTTTACCTTGGAGAAAAGAGAGACTAACGGTTAATGGACGAAATTTGTGACAACATTTAGAAGTGATAAAATAGTTGAGGGATGTGATAACCGGTCAAATTGGCAGCATTTTACAAAATATTAAATTGGTTTGTTAATATTGTTTTCAATTTTATAGTTTATAAATTCACTAAACAATAAATATATTAAATATAATAACAATAAATAATGTATTATATATATATATATATATATATATATATATATATATATATATATATATATATAATTCGGGAATTAAGTAAAAGTTATAAATTATGTAAGAATAACTCCAAATAATCACAAGTCTTTCATAAAAAAAATATATAGATTAAATAAACGTTTGGACGGTCACACTTAATTACAATTTATTGGCCTTCTACTAATTATGGTACTTATTTCTTATATATATATATATATATATATATATATATATATATATATATATATATATATATATATATATATATATACACACACACACACACATTTTTTTAATAAAAATCGCAATTTAGTTCAGTCCAAATCGAATAAATTCGGACTAAAGACGGATAAAATCGGACCAATATATTTTAAACTGATCTAAATAACACACGGCCATACTAAATACTAATATTAAACATATAATGCATAAGTATACAACACGCTGAAGGCACACACTACACACATATAATACACAACACACTACACAAAACACACACACACTATATATATATATATATATATATATATATATATATATATATATATATACTGGTTCTGGGCGGTACCTAATGGATAGCGGATACGAAAAAATAAAAATTGGAATCGGAACCGCATAAGACAGTTTCGATTTCAGAACCGGTAATTCCGAGGTTGTTCCGGTCCTGAAAGCAGGTGTCCATTTCTAATGTTCACCTGTAATATCGTTATGTATAAGTAATATTTGACAATGTTATTAAATTTAAATAATATTATTTAATTCTTGATTAGTGTAGTGTGAAAAAAAATGGTATACTAAATATGACAGCAATTATACATGATATAGCGAAATAATTGTTAGGAAAACATCTAAAAAAAATCTAAGATATTGCTAAATATTAGTGTTTGAAGTATGAAATAAATTAATAATTGATATTGTTGTCAAATATAATAAAAAAAATCTATATTTTCTAGTATACAGAATATTTTTTAATGTAAAACAAAGAAATAGAGTTGAGAAAAGATATCTCGTGTACAAAAGTTTGTTTAATAGAGAGACAAATGATAATTTTAAGTTTTGTTTTAGAGATAAATATATCAAAATGAAAAATAATTTTATTTTCTAAATGAGAGAAGTAGTGGTCATTTGATTAAAATTGGTCTTGTGGTCCTAATTAATCATTTATTCTATCCATTTAATAGTAAAGGGTGATTATGAATTTTTAACTCATTAATTAGTATCCTAATTTAATGAGAATCCTTATAATTATGGTCAATTTTAATTTTTTTTGTTTTTGCAGAATTTTTAATTTCTATTTGTTTTAAATAAATTCCACATAATTGAAATATTTATGAAATTTTCACTAACAAACTAATGTTTAAATATTATGAATGAAATTAAATAAATTTGCACTTTGTATTTTATAATTTATATATAAAACTACCAATGTATACATAATCGTTTGGACAACTTGAACGACATTGCCACAATCCTGAGCATAACCCAATTATCCCTGCAGATCATTTATACTTGGTCAAGGCTCAGATGATCCTTCAAGTGGGAGTCTTACCTCATAACGGTTAGACTCAGACGAGAGTTACGCAACAGGGTCAAATCAATTACTCTGAGATTATTTAATTCCATTGCGAGTGACTTATCACTTCCCAATCAATCAGTTACTCCATCCGTACTTGTAAACCTAAAACACTCGTACTACTTGAAACACTGAAACTGCCAGAAACAACATGTTGCCATCTGGTTGCCTTCCAAAATCCATTGAGATCTCCCTAGTCTCAATATTTCTTCTAGTTATTTGAAATATCGAGTTCCTACCTTGTTACTAAGCCAAAGGCTCCCATACAGTCACCCCTCATGACTTCCAAACTAAATCCTCATCTGTCAATAGTTACCACTAGTTATCTTGCCACTGTGGCTCTCATGACATTCTGATCTAACTAATCGGGTCCATACGTCGAGTCCTGACGTCACCAAATCCAAGGCTAAAAGTGATTGCCACATGACTAAGGGTAGCCTTATATCACAAACAACCTTGAACGGTCCATCAATTCCTTGATCCCATGACTTCAGTGGTGTTCCTACGGTCCTATCACTGGCTCTACCAGGTCTAATTCATCTTGGGAAATCCATAAATCAATCCATGGATTGTCACTTCCTCATTACTGCACCCGAACTGGTGGGTACTACAGTTCCTTCCACGATCTAACCACACTCCCATGCTATTTACCAACGTAGTGAATGCTACGGCTACAACCGTATTAGGACATAAAATTTGTGATTTATACTTTTCTTTTCATAGATTTTAGAGTTCTCAGTCTAAGTACCGAAAACACCATGGTTTCGGTGTTGTGTGGACCGAAATCTCTTAACTATTCTGGTTGGGCTTTGGGTTGGGCTTTTTATTAGGTCTTAGAGTATATAGTATATGTTTCAGTTGTGTATTGAAACAAACACTCTGAACACTCTGATTAATTTCGAGATCTAGAGAGAAAAAGAGAGGACCGAGAGCATTTTATGTATCTTATGTACCAGACTATTAGCAATATAGTGTGCATTGAAGATTCGTTTTTCGTGTTCTTACTCCATATTTATGATTTGTGTTATTCACTGGATTGGGATTCCGCACCAACTCTAGTGAATTCGATTGATACATTCAAGATTGGGTTTTATAATTGGTATCAAAGCTTGGATCGGTATCAATCGATTTGGCAGAGTATTAAATATTTCTTGGAGTTTTTCTTTAAGTTTCTGGGTTTTTTTATTTTTATTTTTGATCAAATTTTGGTTGTTTGTTCGTCGTGTTCTTCATTATTTTAGTGTTTTGATCGAGTTTAGCATTAAAAATCTAAAATTTTCGTGTTTTTGACAATTTTTGGGGGCCTTCGGTCATAGTCCTCAGGGTTCTCAACGGAGCAAGTGATTTCAGTTAGGGCTTCAGGAGTCTTCGGCAGCCAACAATTGATTTTGGTTGGGGTTTGCGAGATCTAGGTTAGCTCCTAGGTTACATCTTCGTATTCGGGTTCTGCCTCGCGGTTCTCAGTGGTGGCTACTGATTCTCAGTTAGGTCAATTTCGGTTCTGAGTATTCGGTAGGCTTTTCGGTTAGCAATTTCGATCTACATAATTGGCTTCGTATTTTTGGTCTAAATTCTTGGTTATTGAGATTTCGGTCCTGAAGCCTCGTTCTCGGTTAAGCATCCTCAACCCCACATTCTTGGTCAGCTCTACTTATCGGTTTCTAGGTTCTCGGTTTCTAGGTTCTCGGTTTCAAGGTTCTCGGTCAGGCTTTTCTCCGGACAAAGAGTGGATTTTCTAAGGTTTTCAGTTCAGAAGTTTCTTTTCCGTTTAGACTGCCCTTCTGTCAAAGAGCATCTGTTATTAGTCTTCGATCAAGATAAAATTGCACAATCAGATTCCTTCTGTTTATTAAATAATGAGTTCTTACAAAAGTACCAATGAGGTTAATAAAGCTTCATGCTCTCAGTCCTGTGAAGCTAAAATTAAACATTATCGTAATCAACATGATTTATTAATTAGGGAAATTGAGGATCTTA